ACCAGACTCCATCAGAATAGAATAGAAAAGACTACACCAGAATAGAATAGAATAGAATAGAACAGAATAGAAGAACCGACCATACCAGAATCCATCAGAATAGAATAGAATAGAAAAACCGACCACACTAGACTCCATCAGAATAGAATAGAATAGAATAGAATAGACGAACCGACCACACCAGAATAGAATAGAAAAGACTACACCAGAATAGAATAAAATAGAAAAGAATAGAATAGAAGAACCGACCACACCAGACTCCATCAGAATAGAATAGGATAAAATAGAATAGAATACACCAGAATAGAATACCAAATCACTGAACAGACCAGAACAGAGACTAGAATAGACCAGACCAGAACACAAGAGAACGTAACAGACCAGACCACACTAAACTAGAATAGAATTGAATCAAATCAAATCAAATCAAATTGAATCTAAGAACAGAAAAAAACAGAGACTAGAATGGACCAGGCCAGACCAGAATAGAATCCAATCCAATACAACACCAGGCCAGACTACACTACACTAGAGTAGACTAGACTAGACTAGACTAGACTAGAATAGAATAGAATACAGGTTCATCTAAGGTTTTCATGCTAAACTGAGTTAAAATGAAATAAAGTGCTGTAGAAAAGTAGTAAAGTCGAACTCCCTACAGCACTAACAGTATCCCTTGTTTCAGCTGGAGGAGGAGTTACTGGATCTGCAGAAGAAGATGAAGCAGACGGAGGATGAACTGGACAAATTCTCTGAGGGCCTGAAAGATGCTCAGGAGAAACTGGAACTGTCTGAGAAGAAAGCTGCAGATGTGAGTGAACGGCACGCACACACACAGGAGGGTTCGGTGTCACTTCATTTTCAGGACACTTTACTCAAAGTTAAACTAGAACTCAAACTGCCAAATAACCATGACCATTACAGTCACTGAATCCTTGAATCCCGTAAAGAAGAACAAAGGATGTTAACACTTGTTTCATCTGACTCTGGCATGCACACATTACTGTGGCACTACTGAAAACCAGGGCCCATTCTTCCACAGCTGGACTCTTTCTAAGCCGGCACCAGCTGTGGCTTTGCTTTGATCCGCAGTGAACGATTTGGAGCACTTCAGAGACAGTTACATTCCTGTGCAGCCACTCCTGAAAGATGAGCACACGGTTAAACTATAATCCCTTCACCCAAACACACACACACACACACACACACACACTGTAAGCCTCATCATGACATATGTTCTGACATTTACAGTTACACAAACATGAGGAGGGACATTTACAACAAATTGCATGCAGATGTTGCAATCATGACAGCAAAGGGACAAACATGCAAAAAATATAAGAGTTTTTCATTTTGTGCCACTTCATATGTTCTAATAC